CTTTTAGTAACCTTGAAAGCATGAAGAGGAAAAGGATATTTTCCCTTCTATGTGTCCCTCTTCCGTCAAAGGTAAACAGTGTAACGGTAAGGATGTCTGGGAAGCGGTCGTTTAACAATTTTAACAAATTCTGATGGCAACTTGCTCATTTGCCACCTTATGATGTGAAAAAAAGAGATGCATGTTTGGTTGAATATATTTATTTTGTTTTCTTTCAACTTACAGCTAGAAAATTTACAAAAAAATTGTCAGAAGTGGGATTCGAACCCACGCCCTCAGAGAGGACCAGAACGCCCGCAGCCCACTACAATGGGCAAGGAAACCTTGAGTCTGGCGCCTTAGACCGCTCGGCCATCCTGACATGCAGTCGATGTGCTGAAATTAGTATACACTAGCTGTTGCTCGCGACTTCGTCCGTGTAGAATTTAACAAATAAAAGTATAGGCTGTGTTACTCACAGATAAATTACTTTTCTAATGGTGAAAGAATTTTTGAAATCAGCGCAGTATTGACGTGATTCGAATACATACAGAAATCCAAAAATACAAATCTGTCCTCTTTATATTAGTATATCCGTTGTATGCGATATAAAGTAATAAATAAATACATCAAGAAACAACGGCCATTCATAACTTGTCTAAAAAATAAATGTTACTTTAGTATTTAAAAGTAACTACTTAATAAATATACAAATCAATTTTATTTTTTTTAAACCATGGGAATAAAAATACGAGTCTTAATAATAAGAGGATAATATTTAATGAAATAATTAAAATAGAGGAAAGATTTTTCTAGATTAAAATCAAAACTCAAGGTACATAATAAGGTCATTTGACTTATGACAACATGAGAGGATTTTAAAAAGTAGATAATATTGATATTTGCAGCCTCAAAATCACTTTGGTTATTATTTAAAGAATATACATGTAAGATTTTTAATAAGATGGATGTGTGGGGTATCACGATTGGATAAGATACGAAATGAGTATATTAGAGGAAGTTTCAGAGTAGCCCCAGTGGTAGAGAAGGTAAGGAGTAAAAGGTTAGCGTGGTATGGGCATGTCATGAGGGGTGAATCGCATGTAACAAGAACGACTTTAGTTATTAATGTGGAGATGCATTGGTAGAGGTAGACCTAGAAAGATGGATGGATTGCGTAAAAGGAGTCATGATCAAGAAGGGAGTGATGATTAAGATGATGGATGATAGAGTTATTTAGAGGACTAAAACCCGGTGCGCCGACCCTACGGGAGTAGGAAAAGGCTGATGGCCTATTGTTAAAAAATAAAGACGACTTTAGTAAAATAAATGAATAAAACAAACTTTATCTTTTATCAAATATCCCTAGATTTATTAAAAACTACCTGTTCCCGTGCGACTTCATCCGCATAAAATTATGAAAATAATATTTTATTGTTTACGTATGTCAAATTACCAATTGCAAATGTCAAAATGACATGACATGATGACAACCTTGCTTCCTTGATGTTGGCAGCAATATATGGTCTCTTTCCCACATTAGGGTTTTTAACCAAAATATTTACCCCCTAAGTTTAAAGGCGTTAAAATATATAGCCTAAAGCGTGACGCAAGTGTAGGTAATTTTTATTAAAAAAAGGGTTATTCAAAAACATGCTGTAATTGCTGAGATCTTGGCAACAAAGAAGTGTGTGTTTACGCTTTATTATAATAGTATAGATATATACATAGAAGTGTAGATATTATGAATATTATTTCGTAAGTTCATTTTTTCTTAATTCTAAACATAATTACGCAAGTGGAAAATGTTTACAACCCTGTATTTATTAAAATGATCATGTTTTAACAAACATAAACAATAATAAAACTTGTTATTAGTTATATTAAAATAATAAAGGTTAAAACAACATGTAATACGTAATTATTTTTTTTGTACACGTTATTTTTAATATATTATAGTCAATGCCATTTTTAGAGCCGACTTAATTGTATAAAGTACTAGTTGTCGCACGCGACTGCGTTTGCACGGAATTAAAATAAGAAAAACTACGTTACCTATAACATTTCCGCGAATATCAGTTACCTTTACGTTGTTTACAGCCGGAGATTATCCGAAACAAACTCGGTTTTGTAGACAGATAGATAAAAATGTTATAAATTGGAAATATGACAGAACATACAGACACTCTAAGTTTATTGTATGTAAAGATTTGTATATAGTTGTGCGATTGTTAACACCGGCACTTAGTCATTATAAAATTGCCTCCGTCTTGAAATCGACGCGCCAAAAATGCTGCGAAATTCAAAATACTTGTTTAATGAAGATGAAAATTATATCCCATCAAAATTACATTTGGGGGACTTCTTTATCAAGAAATTTAAGAAGTACGGAAACAAGATTGCGTTGGTAAGTATTAAAAACATTATTGTTGGTGAAACTATTTGATAACATTATTACCTAAGCGGTCCAGGTTGTCCTCATAAAAATATCGGCTTCATTTGTTCAATAACAAATGTAGATTGTACGGTGTTCTCTAAACTAGTCAAATTATGAAAATTTCTACGAGAAAAACGCAAGGCCTGTAGTGATACGTACAGAAAGATTATTTATTCTATGCGTCTCCTCTCTTGAATATCAGGTTTTATTCCTTTCTATAATGGTTTAAGATGGGAAGGACTTGACCTCCAGCATGCTACATACTGTTCAAAACGCGGAAAAAACCTTCCCACCTGTCTTCTGTGTCTGAATTGCATCGAGCGAGTAAACCATTCGCGTAGAATATGTTAATGCTGTGTATTCAATTGTTAAATATATATATGTATGTAAAACATAAATCATATTTCATAATAATATTATAAATAACCGTGGCTTAGCTACGCTTCAGTTACCTCTTTGGAGAGACTGAAGGTTTTGTCTTTGCAATCATGGACGAAGTCATCGTAATTAACAACTACCGGAAACATATCCTAAAGGATGGTACGACTGACATTTGTCTGACATGTTGTCGGCATTCTGAGTATTATGCATATCGTTTCCGTTTGTTCTCGTTTTGCGGACTGTGCATACTTGCATAGACATAACAAAGTGGCCAAGATTATCCATTAGCAACTTATCCAAAAATATGCTCTTGTGGAATCTGAGGTACCAATCCTTCACCAGTTCTGGAAAATAGTCGTATCACGCTCTACTGGGATCAATCTATTACAGAAAGAACTATTGCTGCCAATAGACCTGATATAGTAATAATAGATCAGTCTGAGAGTTCTATAATGTTAGTCGATATCATTATCCCACATGACGAGAATCTCGTGAAAGCCGAAATTAAAAATATTAAAATATTTAGATCTGGCCGACGAGGTTACCGCCATGTGGCGTATGTAATCGATTACCATTATTTTGATAGCCGTTTCGGTGCACGGGCTAATAGTGAAAAGCTTTGACTAACATCTCAAGAAGCTCTCACTAGACAGCTGGATTAAGGGCTCGATTCAAAAGGCAGTTATTTTAGAAACCGCACGCATTGTGAGGAGGTTCCTGTCTCTGCAGCCCTGACCACTGGTTGCTTGAGTTATGCGATTCCTCAGCTTGTGGTGCTCTTTTTTTAACATAATATGTTTTAATTTTTATATTTATATAAATCATGTAAAATATTTTATGTAATAAATAAGCGAATAAAGATATATAGTATAATTTTAAATAAGAACGTTTGGATGGATGAATGTTTGTTACTAATTACTACGTATTCCCAAATCGTATCTCGGTGTATTTGGACAAAGATGTGGGTAAAATAGTCTAGAAAAACACATAGGCTACTTACTAAGATTCTATTTCTGTGCACACGAATAAGACTAAAAAACATAGCAATATTGATGTTAAAAAAATAATGACAAACGACATCGTATAATTTGCACGAAAATTAATTAAACAAGGCAATTTGAGTGTATATCAAGTACTGGATTGTCACTTAAAAATCTGCGCAATAATTCTGTTTTTTTTTTTTTAATACGAGTAAAAAAAGTTTAAAAACAATTGCGCGTTGAGAATACTAACCATGCACGAGGACATTGATAATAGACTATTCTTATACTTGTGCTAAAACATTACTATGCTATCTCATTATCGATCTTCACACATTTTAATAAAGCTTGTGTTTATGCAATAAAAAATAATGATAGTTAAATACGGGGTTAATGGGGTACTTCTTGATATTTTCTATTGTGTCCGTGTTCGTATCTCAGCTCGCATCAATCGTACTGGCGTTTTTTTTAACGCTTTCGTTCGTAGAAACGTTTTAAAATGATTCTTATTTCATTCACCCAGCGATCAAAATGCAACACTGCGGGATAAAAAGCATCGCTGCTCAATAGCGCTACCGTATCAAGAGATACATGGAAATAAATGAGTTCTAATTGAACATGGAGGGCGCTAGTGAGCTGTTATATTTTAGTATAACTAACTTCCACCGGGTCAAACAATTTGTCAGACTATCTATGATTTTAAAATAAATCGCCTATATGTTTTACAGTTGATTTAGCAATTAGATATAACTGAATATTAACATATAGATATAAATACATGACATTATTCCTTGAAAAGCCTAGTCTTATTTAGTTGACCTAGTTGTAGTTCAAAACGTTTAAGAAAAATTACGCGAGTATATTACTTAAGTCAGCAACATTCTGTGTTAGTTAAACAAATCTATTGCTTAATCAATTATGTTATTGTAACATTGAAGAAATGTATTGCAACTCTTAGATAATTTTAGCACATCGACCACATGTCAGGATGGCCGAGCGGTCTAAGGCGCCAGACTCAAGGTTTTCCTTGCCCATTGTAGTGGGCTGCGGGCGTTCTGGTCCTCTCTGAGGGCGTGGGTTCGAATCCCACTTCTGACAGAATTTTTTTATTATTTCTCTAAACAGAAAACCGCGAAATACAACCAGCTGTTGAATTACTTTTAATTACATTGTTTACACATAAGAAAAAAATGTTTTGTTTCGTTAAACAAGACAAATGTTTCGAGAACTTTTTTTGTCGTTAACACGCCCTTCATCTGTTGATGTTACCTAATAACAAAGCGAACAAAATAAACAAATTACTATTACATCATTTGACAGTGTTTTATCCTTTTCTTAAATTACAGGAATACCAGTTTAATATTTTTCTACACACGCCTGTCTTTTATGACATAGCAGATCTTACGTACTGCAACTAATGCAGCATAATGTTCTCAGATAAACGGCGCTACTAATGAAACGGTCACGTACAATGACATACTCCAAGCGTCCATGAACATTGCCGTCTCTCTCTCACAGCTCGGTCTAAAGAAAGGAGAGACGGTAGGAATCTGTTCAGAGACCAGGCTGGAGAACTGGTCTGTGATCGTCGGAGCAGTCTGCGCTGGAGGTGTGATGACACCTTTGAGCATTGGATATGTTAAAGGTATGTTAAAACTACTTATGAAATATTAGATAATAATAATTCTATATTGTATAATGATTGATTACGGGAACAATATCGCTTTGGTTCTTTAGCTAGGAAATCCTGTGCTTAAGGAGCCAATGCCTTCCCTTTCAGGTACATTTAACAACAGAAAGAAAAAACTAAAGTATCAGGGCCATATAAATTACAGAAAAAAGTTAAATTTATTCTTAATTAGTAATTATAAATTAAAATTAAAGAAATATGAATTACATGTAGCGTATCTCATAAGTGTTGGCATATGCATATATGTATATGTGTATATGAGTGGTTGTGAGTGTGCGTGTGAGATAGAGAGGATTTTTTTTCCCAGAATTACTGAAAATGCTGGTATTTTTGCTTCGCTAACTTATGGTTTTACCCCGATATGGCAGATATTTATGTGAATTGGTGTCTACTAGTTGCCCGCTTGGCTTCGTCCGGGTCCAATGCTGATACGAAAATGTGTTTATTTACGACACCAGATTAGAAACATCTAAAACTATGAAAACTAACCTCCAGAATTGTGTCGTTTTATTATCTTTTCCCGAATGTCATTCCAACAGAGCATATTTTTTTGACCGACTTCCTAAAAAAAGGAGGTACTCAATTCGTCTGTATGTTATTTTTTTAATTAACTGTAAGTTATTTTTCTTTTTACAGATGAACTGAGACATGTTATGAATATATCAAAACCGAAATATCTTTTCTGTTCGAAGCAAGCTTACGATATTCATCGAGCTATTTTCATGTCGTTAGATTACGTCGAAAAGATTATACTGTTCGGTGAAGAGAGAATAGACGGTGCATTACTTTACAACGACCTGGCTACAATCTCTCCTAATTCGATGTTGAAGGAAAATGTTAAATATGAAGAATTCGAAGTGGTAGATGTTCAAGGGCAGACTGATACGGTCTTCATGATGTATTCATCAGGAACTACGGGATTACCTAAAGGAGTTTTGCACACTCATTTAAGTATATTAATAGTGTTCAACATGTAAGTACATTATTGATAACTGACAAAAGACTTAAAACGGCTTTTGCACGCGATTTTCTTTGCAAGAAATTAAAAAAAATATTTAAAAAGATAGCCCATGTTACACAGTGATATTATAGCTTTGTTATAGCAAAAGAATTTTTGAAATCGGTAAAGTAGTTTTTTAGTTTATTAGTTACATACAAAAATAAAAATCTTTCTTTATAATGTTATCTAGCTTTCGCCCACGACTCCGTACGCGTGGAATTAAATAAACAAAAGAAAGTAGACTATGTGTTCTTCCAGACTATCCTCTATATACCAAATTTCATCGAAACCCGTTCAGAAGTTTATATTACAAATTTTAAAAAACTTCCATCTAAACTTTCGTATTTATAGTATTATTAAGATATAGATGTTACCCCTTTTTATCTCTATAAAAATACTGAAGCAATCCTAATTCTCTGTCTTAATTTGTCTTCTTGATTGTTTCTAGGTCATGTTTACTTGATCCTAAACAAATAGTTTTAAATATAACACCGTGGTACCATGTTATGGGCTTAATGAGCACACTTATATATCTAAGTCATTGCTGCAAACATGTCTTTTTACCGAAGTTTGAGATGGATTTATATTTAAAAACAATAGAGAAATACAAGGTAAGTATTTAACGTTGTATGTTACCACGGTAAAAAATCAAAAGAAGAAAGTTTTGTGGCACAATAATATTAAAAAATTAACAAAAAAATATGTATAGAGAACCTATTTGTTTCAACTTTAAACTGACAACAATTTTTAGTGGTACAAGTTGAAATAAACGAAAATTGTATAGTTCTGTTATTTCGATATAGTTATACAAAAATGCAAATCTTTCCTCTTTACAATATTGAACAAGATAATTTAAGAAAAAAACTCACTACTCACTGCTTAGCACATATAACTCACAAACTTGAATTTCTTTTTTTTTTTTTGTAAAAATGTTTCAAAGTCTGTTTAAATAGTAGATAATTTTTTGTTATCAGTTTATTTGGTCTGCGGTACTCTAGTTTGGACACCAGTCAAAGGGGAAATTAGTAGTTATTTTATTTCATTCTAGGTGAATCTTCTAGTATTGGTACCACCTGTACTGATGGCTCTCAGCAAGACATCCTCGCAGTACGACCTCAGCTCTGTTGAGGCGGTAATGAGCGCGGCTGCTACCCTCAGGAAAGAGACCATTGAAGCTGTCAACGAAAAGTACGTAATTTAGTTAAAACCATTATATTTGCCAATTTCAATAAATACTTTGCTAGCTGTTCCAGTGCGGCTTCACTTTATTTTATTATTTATTAGTTTTCACCCGCGACTCCGTCTGCGTGGTAAAAAACAAAAGTGACTTCCAGACTACGTCTATACCAAATCTTATTGAAAACCGTTCAGCAGTCAAAATTCAAATGACAATAAAAACTTCAACCATTGGCTAAGGATTTAAGTAATCATGGCAACCTTGCTTTTTTCATTTTTAACAGATTCATAAACTTGAAAGGCATTTGTCAAGGCTATGGTATGACGGAGACTACATTTGTTGTGACCATAGACAGTCTCTTCACGGATGGTACGACCAAACCGGGGAGTGTTGGTAAAGTTGTACCTAATACTTTGATAAAGGTAATTACTCATATACCAATCTAAAACTATGCCAGCAAAATGTTAATGAAATTTACATTATGTTCATATGAAAGTAGGCGAGATGTTCACCCTTCGAGAAACTTGCAATTAGCTGTCACGAAATAAAAATCTTACTAGCTCCTTGCTTTCTTAGTACTGGAAAACAAATAAGCGCTAACAAAAGCTGTCACTTAGTCAGTACTCGGCATGCTAGTGCCAGCTACTTTGTTGTTGTCCTTATTAGGTTTTTAAGTAATTTGCAATTACATAAGTTTCATCAACGATGTTATTTCTCACAGATCGCAGACGTAACAACCAGAGAGCCTCTTGGGCCATACGAAAACGGCGAAGTATGCATTAAAGGGCCTTTAATTCTCAAAGATTATATTGGACATGAGAAAAATAATTGTTTGGACAGTGACGGATTCTTTAGAACTGGCGACGTAGGTTACTATGACGAAGAGAAATATGTGTATATTGTCGATCGAATGAAGGAATTAATTAAATACAAGGCTTATCAGGTAAATATCTATACTGGTTTAAAAAATGATTTGTATTTTTGTATATAACGTAATAAACTCAAAAACTACTTGACTAATTTTTATAATTCTTTTGCCACGAAAGCTACCGTATCACTGAGTAACGTTGGCTATATTTATTACTATTTTAATGATACGATGATTTTATTTAAATAATATTAAAATAAACTACCTTCAAAATTACAATATCAACAATATAACTGAAACATCTGATTATACATCTAATTATATACTGTAGTGTTTGCAAAACAATATACGAGATAACCTATTTCCAATTAAAGGTACCTCCAGCTGAGATAGAAGCAGTCCTGATGCAGCACGAGGGAGTCCGTGACGTAGGCGTGGTAGGGCTGCCGCATCCCGAAGCCGGCGAGCTGCCCGTCGCCTTCGTGGTACTGCAGCCCGGTGCCAGCCCTACCGAGGCAGAACTGCGGCAGTTTGTAGCTGAAAGAGTAAGTATTGTAGATTGAATGAAAATTTCTTACAATTTTTATAAGAAAAATGCTATATTATTAGTCACATCAATCCGAAAAGTTTTGCAAAAGTTTAGATGGATGTTTGTTAGCGTTTGTAGCCTAAACTGCCTAATGGATTTTTATGACATTTGGCATAGATGTAGAGGATAGTCTGGAAAAGCACATAGGCTATTAACTTCGGTTTTAATTAATTTAACATGTGCGGAGACGCGGACGAAAGCTAGTTTTCAACATTTTAGTAGGTTTACAATATTAAATTGATTATTAATCGTCTTTTTTTATTTAAATTGGCTTTATTAATTTACAGTTATCCAACCCGAAGCATTTAAGAGGCGGAATACACTTTGTAACAGAAATACCGAGGACTGCTAGCGGCAAAATACTGCGAAAACATCTCAGGGAATTGGCAGTTAATTTACAGTAAACACAATTGAACAATAAATTATGTTAATTTATCTTGGAATCGCTGTAATATGAATTTAAATTTTGGGAAAAATAAATGTGGGGTTATTTCTAAAAAACACTGATTTCATAGTAGCATAGTTAAAATATACTTATTGTAATGGAACTACTTCGTGTGATGGTACAGTAAAAAAAAAATACCGAGATCAGTAATTTTTAATAACAATGTCTGTGTTTTTTTTAATTTTTATATTACAAGGTAGCAAATGAGCGAGTGATAATCTAAACTCGCCGAAAGGCGAAAAGACCGCTGCCCATAGACATCCGCCAGTGCAGATGCGTCGCCTACCCTTAATTTGCGAAGGAAGGGACTCACATAAAGTGGATATTTATCCCTTCAAATTCACTTCCTCTGCCCATCCTTTTTTTTCTTTATAATGTAAGGTGGCAAACGAGCAAGCGGCCACCTGTATCCACCGAAGTGGAAAGCGATCGCTGCCCATAAACATCCACAATTGCAGATGCGTTGCCTACTCTTCATTGACGGAGGAGGAGACGCACATAAGAGAACATTTCCCCTTCATATGCATCTCCTCTACCGTGAAATCCACTTTTCCTTTCCATCCTTTCCTCTTAAGAAAAGAGTGGAAAGGAAAAGGGACTAAAATTAGGCCTCCGGCACCACACTCATCAGTCGTAACGCGGACCTGCTCCCACTTCACGCAAGTATTCTGTGTGGGGAAGCCGGCCTTACAGGGTGAAGATGTTAAAGCGGGCTCAATCACGTTTCAGCTCTGTGTCTCAACGTATAATTGACTTCAAAGAGTGTGTAATTATTTTGTAGTACTTAGTGGTTGTGCTAATTAACATACAATTGGAGATTCGGGTCCCTGCGCTGTTGCTACATACTGTAGATTATGCAAAAACTTAATACACCCAAAAATAACCATATTCAAATTAAATCCCACCAAGAGATCGTTTGCTACTGATAAAGCAAATTGATTATAATCTTTACGTATAAACAATAAATGACAAACTCAGGGCCAGTTTTAAATTACCGATGTGATGCGAGATTTTTCCCGTGACCCTTAACTGCAGTACAAACTTATGCAGGGGGGCCTTTATGCGTCGCCCCTTCATGTCTGGCGCCCTGGGCGGTACTGACTAAATTATTTTTCTTAAAGTTTTCTTAATAATAATAAGCCTTTATTCAGATAATTAAATTACTGTCACATTACATAGATTGAGTTGAATATTGATACATTACATTTATTAGTTAATTTTATTAGCCTTTTTTTATTATTATTTTATTTGTTATTTATTATCTGTGTGTCCAAGTTGGACATAGGCCTTAAAGTTACTTATAATTAAATCTGTAAAGATGGATCTCCAAATTTTACTTCAATAACCCAAATCATTCATTAAGGCATCATGGGAAAATCGAACATGCATACCCATTTATTTTAAATCAGTTCGTAAACACACGCACATATGCGGCGATTTTATTGCATATATGATATTTGATTTTAACAGAGTGTCCTAGTGTAATTTAGTTTCTTATGGTTACCGGGTCATGTCAGTTATTTGTAAATAACAAAGCATTACTTACCCGTTAACGGTGCAAAAAAATGTTGATCACATTTACAAGAGCAATAACAGAGCAAGTGTTGTATTAACAATAGTACAGTGTGCAAAAAATGCCATTAATATTACAATAAAATTGTAAAGTATACATTTAGCAGCAAACCTATCTATACAGATTAATAAAATTAACTTTTGTCCGTGATTCTGTAACCGCTGAATTAAAAATAAACTTAGTTGCCTTTCGAACTATCATTCTACATCTGTGCTAAATTTCATCAAGATTTTGAAGATAACCTAAGTAATAAACGTCCACCCAAACATGTAAACTTTTACATTTAAAATATTAGTAAGGTAATAAAAAAAAGTTTTTTGAAGATGACGTATTTGAATAACTTATTAAAATATAATAATTTCTGTCTGTCTGTCCTCAAGTTTGCATTTGTTTCTTGTAATCTTCAAAATGGCGGAGTGATTTTAACGAAAATTTTACTAGAAAGGAAGCTGCTAGCTAAGGTGGACGGGTGTGACTTAGTCTATTTTTAAATTACGCGCTGACGAAGTCGCGAGTAATCACTAGTAAGTAATATACATAATTTAGCTATAAATTACTTGGCATTGATAGATAATAAGAAGAAATTACCTGAATTTTAAAAGCCAAGGAGCATTGTTTAATCTTGTTGAACATATTTATACACGCTTTTTCCTTTGTTCATTGTACTATTGGATTTACTCGCGCTCGCTGGAGACGTGCAAAATGTTGAAGAACCCAAATTATCTCTACGGACCGGACGACAGCGTGATCCCAGTTAAAATAAATTTAGGCGATTATTTAGTCAAAGGATACAAGAAGCATGGTGATAAAGTTGCAATGGTAAGACTGCACGATTTTTTCGGGACAATTACATCGTATTTTATTATTAAATTTGTTCATAACCAGCTTTCACATGCGACTCTGTCCGTGTGAAAACAAAAAACCAAAAATGAATAGCTTGTGTGTCTTTTCAGACTATCCTCTACATCTATGGCAAATTTTATCGAGATTCGTTCAGCTGTTTAGGCTACAAATTCTAACAAACATGTACAGTTGACTTAGCTAAGAAGTTGAATTTTTAATTACTCCGTAACATTTTATATACCTGATTGTTAAATCATCAGGGCGACCTAAGCATAATGTTTATTTTAGATTACCGTAAACATTACCATGCGTCATTTATTAAGGAAATAATACAATTTTACCTGGAACTTGCTATTCTACTTACAAAATAATTTACCACAGATTAATGCTGTAACCGAAGAACAAATAACATTCAATGAAATGGTACAAGCGGCGATGAACCTCGCAGTATCCATGGTGCGTCTTGGGGTGAAAAAAGGAGACGTGATCGGGATATGCTCGGAAAGTCGGCTTGAGATTTGGCCGACAGTTCTTGGTCTGACCTGTACTGGCGCAGTTATTACTCCTATAAGTACTGGATACATTAAAGGTAAATGACAGGAATCTGAGGTTGAAGAATGTATGGATGATTGTACGTTCTTAGTTTTGTCATCGTCATCATCTTGCGGTACTGTATAAACCGCTTTTTCATACATCAATATCAGCCAACTTATTATTGAGTTTCTTCTTAATCAAGTTCTCTTTCGCACAATATGGCACATTCATACCTCCTTCGGTCTTCTACCTTTGTAGCTATCATAGTCATCTCTCCGCACAACATATCCATAATATGTCCACATCACACTGTCGAAATGCTGGTGTACATTTTTACATTACAACGAATTTTTTTAGACGAGCTCAAACACGTATTGAATATATCGAAACCAAACTATCTGATCTGCTCTAAACAAGCGTACCAAGTACACGAGACCGATTTCAAGTCGTTGAAATGCATAAAAGAGATAATATTCTTTGAGGAAGAACGACCAAATGGTGCATTATATTATAAAGATTTGGCCATAGTATCTCCGACTTCAATACTCACAGAGAATGTAAAGATAGAAGAGTTTCTAGCTGTGGAAGTAGATGGAGGGACTGAAACTGCTTTTATAATGTACTCGTCAGGTACGACTGGACTGCCGAAGGGTGTGATGATAAGCCATTTAAATTTAATTGGTATTTGTGCAGCGTAAGTCCATTTTTATCGTATGAAACGTGTAATAACTGTTATGGTAGCTCTTAAGAAGTACAAGGTCGTGTCCAGCTAACGTTCAAGGCCTTTCCCTTGTCTGGCCTCTGGCAGCAGATGATTAAGGGGACGAGGCATATTTTTTTTTATTCCAAAGATGCTTTTCAACGTGTGGTAAATTTTTCACTTACGCAAACTTACGAACCATTTTTGACATCTATGTAGAGCATTTTAGGTGTGCAACTTTAGTGTTTTTCACATTATTCTAATCTCAATAGAAGAGGGGGTTACTGCCCTCAACCTCTGTTTTGGGCTTTTGCCATCAAATTCCACCTTCATAGTGGCCCATGGAGATGTTACTCTTTACGTTAAATAGCCCTGTGTATTGTCCATTCATATATGATCATTAATGAATATTAACATCTAACTTTCAGGCGGGATATTTGTGATCCAAAATTAAATGTATTGCAAATTACTCCGTGGTATCATAGCATGGGTCTTATGGTGATGCTTATGTACATGTACTCTGGATTACAATTAGTATTTCTACCAAAATTTGAATTAGATTTTTATTTACGATCGATAGAAAAGTATAAGGTACAGTATTAAATCTATTTTGTCTTAGCACAATTATTTTCTTTCAACATCTTAAAGTTATTAGAGATTTGGATTGATAAATGTTATTTTTTTTTTAGATTAAAAAACTACTTTTGGTACCATCTGTAATATTGGCAATATGTAAAACGTCTTTCTCATACGATGTGAGTTCGGTAGAAGTTATTGTATGCGGAGCTGCTGTTCTCCAACAAGATATTATCCAAGCTGTTAAATCAAAGTAAGAACAGTATTTAAATTTTTTAGCGGATGTTCTTAAGCTGTGTGATGTACCCTCCCCTCGAATGCGACACCTCGCTACACCTTTGTGCTCTACACAATGACTGCTACGTGTGTGAAAGCCGACAATAATTGACCTTTTTTAATGTTGTAATTATTACGGTTTCTTCATTAACTCAAATTGAAATACAATCAGCTTTTTGCTTTAGAGCGAGCGCACATATTTAACTAAACTATCGCTTACTGTTGTGCGATTATCAATTGTCGATTATTTCGCAGCCAATTCAACTGTTTAGTTGCACAACTAAAATCGAGTAGTATGCACTTCCATATAAGCTCATAGGAATCGAAGCGCGACCAAACAGTAGTGCGATAGTTTAGTCAAAGGTGCGCGCTATTGAAATATTTATATAATTTTACTTCATAATAATTAGATATTCTTGAAATCTGAGGTCATAAATAAAATATTTTATAGGTTTAAGAATTTAATCGACGTCTACCAAGGCTACGGGATGACAGAAGCTACGCTTTTAGTATCGCTATCTTCGTACGTTAATAGACAGAAATGCAAGCCGGGAAGTATTGGCTTAGTAACTTATAATACAATTGTCAAGGTATGCGAACTTTATTTATGCTCTACCATACAATCTTGGATGACAGTTTAAACCTAGTTTCAAATAATACATCTGTTTAGGATCAGATTATAGGATCAGATTTTTCATGCAAAAAGTAACTTTTGTGGTTTGCATAATAGACACAAATAGCTAATTTAGGTACTTTTGACCAACTTGTGGCGGATGACACCCGCAACATCATAGTCAGCTTGCCCTTGTCCCTATAGAGCCCTATAGAGGTGCTACTTTACCATACATTTCTATCAGCCGATCTAACAAAGAGATCTAACAAAGAGATCGACCTGGAAGTAAGCACTGGAGTCAAATTGAATGAACAAACAATCGCTGAAATAATGGCCAATAAACACTCCAGGCCGCATCTGGAACGG